CCCCCCCTCCCTTCTTCCCCCCCCCCCCCCCCCTTCCCCCCCCTCCCCCCCCCCCCCCCCCCCCCCCCCTTCCCCCCCCCTCCCCCCTCCCCCCCCCCCCCCTTCCCCCTCTCCCCCCCCCCTTTCCCCCCCCCCCCCCCCTCCCCTCCCCTTTCTCCCCTCCCCCCCCCCCCCCCTCCCCCCCTCTTTCCCCCCCCCCCCCCCCTCCCCCCCCTTTCTCCCCCCCTCTCCCCCCCTCTCCCCCCCCCCCCTCCCCCCCCCCCCCCCTCCCCTCCCTTTCTTCCCCTCCTCCCCCCCCCCTTCAACCCCCCCCCCCCCCCCCCCCCCCCCCCCCCCCCCCCTCCCCCCCCTTTTTTCCCCCCCCCCCTCCTCTTCCTATCCTTCCCTCCTCCCTCCCTTCTACCTCTCCCCCTCCCTCCCTCTCTTCCTCCCTCCCCCTTCTCTCTTCCCCTCCATCCCTCATCTCGTTCTCTCCCCCTTTCCCCTCCACCCCTCTCAGCCATCATCTTCTGCCACTCAGTAAAGTCAAAGAACTGTCTCTCCCATCTGGAGAGCTGCCTGAGGATCTGCTGTGAGACATTTGGTGAGACTGTCTGTAGATAACCCCAAGATGTCTTCTTCTCTTCCAGGATATCATCAAACCTGAACATATTTAAAATGAAAGCAGTGAAGTCATCTCTAGATTGCAGTGTGATATGCTCCTTATATCTTTTAAAATCACCCACATGGTATTTCTTGCCTTCAAACAAAAGTCAGATTATGTGGAAGTAACAGGTGTGCCAGGTCACGCTAGATGTAATAGATTTGAAAGGACTAAACTTTTAAATGTAGGAACTCATTTGCGGATAGACCCTGGCCAAATAACCCATAAAAATGAGAGGAATGAAATATGAAATTTCACTTGCTGAAGCAGAAACCTTTATTTCTCCCACTGAGCTATTGAAAAAAAAAGGTCTACTTGTTTTTCTTACTGAGATTTTGGTTGGTTTTTTTTTTTTTTTTTTAAGGGGGGGAGGGGGGTCTACTGTATATAGTTGAGTGTCATTTTTTGATTTTAGCAATCTGTTTATAGATTCACACAGCTTTCACCTAAAATTCACACATTTTCCTAATGGGATTAAACTAAAATGATTGCGAATCACAAATGAAAGTTGTATTCATTTTCTCTGAACACATTTTATTCATAGGCGCTAATGTACTGCTGGTTTCTTTTATAGCTCTGGCTTTGTATCTTTCCAACAACCTTTTCTTACATAGCCAGCCCATCCAAGAGTACTGTGCATTTCTGTTTTTTTTGGTGGATGTTAGAAAGTTAAACTCCTATATCTCTTGGGGACTTATGGGATCAATGAACTTTAGTTTCCTTTGTGTGAACACTTGCCATGGTCCTTCTCACTCATCTTCATCCATAAGATTAAAACAGGCAACAGAAGGAGAGGATCCCCACCCCGAGGTGTGTAGGAATCCCCAATATTCACAAATAGCTGTGATCTGAGCCAGGAAGTAGAAGCGAGGAATTTTCTATCAATGTCCTCAAGAATTTTAATACTAAAGGGATTACCCCTGGACTCCAGACATAAGTGGAATATCACTTTTGAATGGTTTAATTCTTGTGACATATGTACAGAACGGTAGTTGGATATTCTTACATTTCCCGATGAAAGCAATATGATATGTTGTGTGAATTCCATTTTAAGAGCTGAAATCATGTCAACTAAGCAGAAGGCCACCAATATCCACCCATTATGAAAATATCACCTGACCTTAACATTTCTCTGTTTCTTCTTCTGTCATTGTTAGGTCAGGAGAAAGTGTACATGGTGATCACTGACCTGGAGGATACAAAGTCTGCAAGAAAAGTAGAAGAGGAGTGGAGTACGAGAAATGATGCATGTTGCCAGTTACTGACCCTAACACAAGCTGAACTGGATGGAATAAAGGGCCCACTTATGGGGAAAGAGATTGGATAAAATGGATGCTCTGAGGCAAATTCTGCTAAATGCCAGAGGTAACTTAAGAGTTATGGCTTATTATGTGAAATATTTACTCAAGCACCCAACTTTATTCATAAAGAGTTCTATGTATGGACAGATATTTTAACAATATGGTCTCCATTTACCCTGAAAATGTTGTGTATAAAGCTGGAGCACACCCGTAGATGTTGGCTTTGATCCTACCTGAACGAAGTTGTGGGGGACTGCGTGCTGATAATTACTGTACATTATTTAACCAAGTGTTAGCATGCTGGTATTTCTTGTGTGTGTTTGTTGCCCCCCATGGCTGGAGGCCAAATTACTTCACCATAGCCTAACACCTGAAGGATATGATCTTTTTACCTACCAGTGACATCTGTCCTGGCCCTGACTACAGAGGACATTTTGAGAGAGCTTGTGTTGAGCGCAGAGTCCCTCCACCGGCTCTATTACACACGTTACTAAATACGCTTTAATTGTTAAGCCTGAAGGCATGGAGGAAAGTCGCTGTATATTTTTGCAAGGCCCAAGTCCCTAGGAGGGTGCCATCACGCAGCAGGCCCTTTATATAAGGACCCCACTGCTAAGAAGGGCGAACCATACATCCAATTCACCACTCAGACAGAATCTCTGTCACGGCCAACCCTACCTAAGGGTTTATACTTCATTCTCCGTTCCCAGTCACTGTAGGAGCATACTCTCATTCTCTCTTCCCAAGTCTTTCAGATTAGACGTTACATTTAACCAGTAATTTATTTTACCGAAGAAAAGATTTGCCACACAGAGTCAATATTTCAGTACAAGTCACAAGATGATACAATTCAGGCAACCATTGCATTGTACACTTTTCTTAAAGTGCTGATCTAGGGCTATGCTGTGGTGTTCCCTACCTTTGTCAATAGACTGGTTTTCCATAAACTGGTCAGTACAGTTCAGTTCAGAGTTTGAATTAGGGTGCCACTTCTGGGTACCCCCAAAACTTGGTCAAACAATTACACCTGATGAGTATGGACCTTCTCCCAACTTCCCACAGGCCCAAAGAGAGTGAGATCCTACCTCCTCCTGAATATATCAACTCAGAACCGGAAGGGACACATGCAGGGGGACATTGCTCCACAGGAAACATTAACCTGTTAATATATCATGCAGTAAGAATATAAAAGTACCTACCTACATGGTGACACACTGAAAATCCAGTGGCACAGACAATTGAAAATAATATGGAACCTTACGCAGTAGTGGCTACATGCCGAAAATAATAAATAGGTTTATGCAAACAGAGCAATAGCTTATTATTTATTTCAGGTACTTGTATAGCAATAAGAATTTACGCAGCACTTTACATGTATATTGTACATTCACATCAGTCCCTAAACCCTCAAGGGGCGTACAATCTAAGGTCCCCAACTCACATTCATACATACACACAGAGGCGTCCCTAGGGTTGGTGTCACCCGGTGCGTTAACACTTGGTGACACTCCCTCCGACGATCCCCCCAGAATGGATCGGATCTGCAGATTGAGCATAAATGGATCGGAGTCCAATCCATGATGTTCCCCAATCTGCAGATCCCATCCATCCTGCGGGGATCGTCGGCTTGCTTTACAACTTACCTTTTCATGGAGTGGGTCCGGTGTCACCCCCATGCGGTTTAGGGTCACCTGGTGCGGGCCGCACCCCCTGTACCTGTCTTGGGACACCACTGCATACACATACTAGTGCCAATGCAGACAAGAGCCAATTAACCTACCAGCTTGTCTTTGGAGTGTGGGAGGAAACCAGAGTACCCAGTGGAAACCCACACAGGCACAGGGAGAACATGCAAACTCAAGGCAGGTAGTGCTGTGGTTGGGATTCAAGCCAATGACCCGAGTACTGCCCGGGGGGAAGTGCTAAAACCATTTAGCCACTGTGCTGCCTAAAGTGAAATCACAGTATTGGTATTAACATCAACAACTGTGATATAGAGGTTCACTTTATCCTATCCCAAACATGTCTATTGATGACCTCAGAGGTCCTTGCTGAAAGTGTTACTAAACCCGGACCCTGCATTCACTATATCCGCTCTCCCCGGACCCCGCATTCACTTATCCGCTCTCCCCGGACACCGCCCGGCGCCTTCACTATATCCGCTCTCCCGGACCCCGCATTCATTATATCCGCTCTCCCCGGACCCCGCATTCACTATATCCGCTCTCCCGTGGACCCCGCATTCACTATATCCGCTCTCCCCGGACCCCGCATTCACTATATCCGCTCTCCCCAGACCCTGCATTCACTATATCCGCTCTCCCCGGACCCTGCATTCACTATATCCCCTCTCCCCGGACCCCGCATTCACTATATCCGCTCTCCCCAGACCCCGCATTCACTATATCCGCTCTCCCCGGACCCTGCATTCACTATATTCACTCTCCCCTGGACCCTGCTGCATTCACTATATACGCTCTCCCCTGGACCCCGCATTCACTATATCCGCTCTCCCTGGACCCCGCATTCAGTATATCCGCTCTCCCCAGACCCCACATTCACTATATCCGCTCTCCCCGGACCCCGCATTCACTATATCCTCTCTCCCCGGACCCCGCATTCACTATATCCTCTCTCCCCGGACCCCGCATTCACTATATCCGCTCTCCCCGGACCCCCCGCATTCACTATATCCACTCCCCGGACCCCGCATTCACTATATCCGCTCTCCCCGGACCCCCGCATTCACTATATCCGCTCTCCCCGGACCCCGCATTCACTATATCTTGTCTCCCTGGACCCTGCATTCACTATATCCGCTCTCCCCGGACCCCGCATTCACTATATCCGCTCTCCCCGGACCCCGCATTCACTATATCCGCTCTCCCCGGACCCCGCATTCACTATATCGCGCTCTCCCCCGGACCCCGCATTCACTATATCCGCTCTCCCCGGACCCTGCATTCACTATATCCGCTCTCCCCGGACCCTGCATTCACTATATCCCTCTCCCCGGACCCTGCATTCACTATATCCGCTCTCCCCGGAACCCTGCATTCACTATATCCGCTCTCCCCGGACCCCGCATTCACTATATCCGCTCTCCCCGGACCCCGCATTCACTATATCCGCTCTCCCCGGACCCTGCATTCACTATATCCCCTCTCCCCGACCCGCATTCACTATATCTGGTCTCCCCGGACCCCGCATTCACTATATCCGGTCTCCCCGGACCCCGCATTCACTATATCACTCTCCCCGGACCCTGCATTCACTATATTCGCTCTCCCCTGACCCTGCATTCACTATATCCGCTCTCCCCGGACCCCGCATTCACTATATCCTCTCTCCCCGGACCCCGCATTCACTATATCCTCTCTCCCCGGACCCCGCATTCACTATATCCGCTCTCCCCGGACCCCGCATTCACTATATCCGCTCTCCCCGGACCCCGCATTCACTATATCCGCTCTCCCCGGACCCTGCATTCACTATATCCCCTCTCCCCCGACCCCGCATTCACTATATCTGGTCTCCCCGGACCCCGCATTCACTATATCCGGTCTCCCCGGACCCCGCATTCACTATATCACTCTCCCCGACCCTGCATTCACTATATCGCTCTCACCCGGACCCTGCATTCAGTATATCCGCTCTCCTCGGACCCCGCATTCACTATATCCTCTCTCCCCGGACCCCGCATTCACTATATCCTCTCTCCCCGGACCCCGCATTCACTATATCGCTCTCCCCGGACCCCGCATTCACTATATCCGCTCTCCCCCTGGACCCCGCATTCACTATTTATCGCTCTCCCGGACCCCGCATTCACTATATCCGCTCTCCCCGGACCCGCATTCACTATATTCCGCTCTCCCCGGACCCCGCATTCCTATATCCGCTCTCCCCGGACCCCGCATTCACTATATCCGCTCTCCCCGGACCCCCGCATTCACTATATCCGCTCTCCCGGACCCCGCATTCACTATATCTTGTCTCCCTGGACCCTGCATTCACTATATCCGCTCTCCCCGGACCCCCGCATTCACTATAATCCGCTCTCCCCGGACCCCGCATTCACTATATCACGCTCTCCCCGGACCCCGCCATTTCACTATATCCGCTCTCCCCGGACCCCGCATTCACTATATCTTGTCTCCCTGGACCCTGCATTCACTATATCTGCTCTCCCTGGACCCTTCATTCACTATATCCGCTCTCTCTGGACCCTGCATTCACTATATCCGCTCTCCCAGACCTTGTATTCACTATATCCGCTCTCCCCGGACCCTGCAATCACTATATCCGCTCTCCCCGGACCCTGCATTCACTATATCTGCTCTCCCCGGACCCTGCATTCACTATATCCGCTCTCCCCGGACCCTGCATTCACTATATCTGGTCTCCCCAGACCCCGCATTCACTATATCCGCTCTCCCGGACCCTCGCATTCACTATATCTGCTCTCCCTGGACCCTGCATGTCACTATATCTGCTCTCCCAGGACCCCGCATTCACTATATCCGACTCTACCCGGACCCCGCATTCACTATATTTGGTCTCCACAGTACACAGAACATAGAAATACAATTATTTTAGTAAATATAAACTGCTAAAATCCCTTTTCTCTCAATCATCAGTATATAGCTGTCTTGTGACTTCTGTCAGTGTCCAGCAGAGCACTGCTTAGGTTACTTTTTCAAGGTTAGGACTGTAATTACACTACACAGATCTGATTTTTTATGCATGACTGGTTCTGTTGGGCTGATTTATTCAGGTGAGTTCACATTTTGGTCATATACCGTGGTGGAACACGGTGGAAGCTGTAAGATGGTCTGGCCATTTTCACCATTTGTACCGGGGTGTTTGGGGTTTTTTTCCATTTCACTATTTTGGACTAGATATTATGTATCACTTTACTACATAAGTGTCATTGTATATGGGAATTTGTTGTAAATATGAAGAAGTATTGTGGTACATTTGCTAGGGCCATTTTCACTTATTTTACATATATCGAAAGTGTAGTTTACACTTAAAATTTTTTTTTTTTTTGGTATTTTTAGATATTTTTTGAAATTTGTTTTGGAGGATGGCGCTTTTCCACTTTTAACTGAATTAGACAGCAGAGACTGTTTACACCCGCACAGAGTCAACACGGACGTGTCGTACTCCTGCTCTGCTCCTAATCAGCAGAGGATCTGTGAGTGCATCCCCTGCTGATCAGAGCATTTGCCACATGTTGTGTGTTTTCATTCTCTCTCTATGGCACATACTCCTGTGTAGTCCTGTACATGCTTTTAACACTTCTGCTGCCTGATCTGTACAATCATACAGACCTGACAGCGGGGGGGGGTTATTCACAATCTAGTGGCTTACAGCTACAGGGATTGTATATAAAACTGACAGGTAGACTCCGGCCTGTTATCTGGAATGCAATCAAGAAGACTCAGCTGCCTTGAATTGCTTCCACAGCCCCCGGTTCCGGTGTTAAACTAAAGCAGTTTTTACTTCCTGTCTTAAAGACGCCTGGTGCTGTCTATTTCCTATATGGTCAGC